ATTGGTTGTAGATATTGGCTACAACAGTCAGAACCTTCCTTTGGTTTTGTGGAGATGAAGCTGTCCTCTCTGTGGTGGACAGAGGAACCCTGAGAATGACTGAGAATGGATCCTTTTCTGTAGCAGTCACATGGAATCATAGAATTGGAAGGTACCGTCAGGATCATCTAGTCCAACCCCCTACACAATGCAGAAAATTCACAAATACCTCCCTTTCCACACCCCCAATGACTCCTGCCTCACAGCCAGAAGATGGCAAAAAAACAAAACAAAAAAAACCCCCTCTAGGATCCCTGGCCAAACTGGCCTGGAGAAAATTTGCCAGTTTGGTGTAGTGGTTAAGTGCGCAAACTCTAATCTGGGAGAACTGGGCTTGATTCCCCACTCCTCCACTTGCACCTGCTGGATGACCTTAGGCAAGCCATAGTTCTGGCACAGCTGTTCTTGAAAGAGAGCAGTTTCTATCAGAGCTCTCTCAGCCCCACCTGCCTCACAGGGTGTCTGTTGTGGGGAGGAGAAGGGAAAGGAGTTTGTAAGCCGCTCTGAGACACCTTTGGGTAGTGAAGGGCGGGGTATAAATCCAATCTCCTCCTCCTCCTTCTTCCTAACCCCAGAGTGGCAGTCAGCATTTCCCTGGGTGTGTAAGAAATGAATAGAGTCTTCATAAGTAGAGGGATATACTTCTCTTGGATGTCAATTTGTTTATATGAATTTGGCCAGAAAAGACTTGTTTCATTGTGAAGCACTCCTTTTATCTCCTATGTAGGCATGACCAGGTCTCCTTTTATACACACACCTCCAATCCAAATTGAGCTATTAAAAAACCCCCGATCCACTCAGTGCTCTTTCCTTGTTCGTTTTTAGCTTCATTCCCGCCATCAATGACTTGACTTCAGATCTGTACGCAGCGGAATCAAGAAACAGAGACGTGGAGCGTGAGTTGACCAACCTGAGGAAAAAGCTCACTTCGGCACTGGTACTTGAAAAGCGTCTACAGGAGTAAGTATAAAGTAGAATGTTTTTGTCTCTCTTGGTACTATCCTCAGCCCATAAATCAAGGGTGTCAAACATGCGGCCCGGGGGCCGGATCAGGCCCCCGGAGGGCTTCCCTCAGGCCCGCAGTGGAACTGGCCATCTCCCGCTTCCAGTTCTGCTGCTGCTGCTGCATCATAGCTCGCTTTGCCAGACTCTCTTAATCCCTCAGCCATTTCATGTTTCAACCTGGGTCCTAGACTCAGAACTCTGAGCGTGAGATGACTGTGGTGAACGTCAATCAATCAAAAATAGGTTTGACGCTTACAGAGCTAATGTTTTAAGCATGCTTTTATTTTAAGTAATCCTGCTGCTGCTGAACGCTTTGTAACTTTTGTAGCAGTGCTTGTGCCAGAAAGTAGGTATTTTTGAAGACCGGCGTGGGGGTGGGGTGGGATAACTGTCGATACTGAAGTAACACTCGGAATACTAGAACTAATCAAGTCATCATGTCTTCTACCAAAGGAACCACGTCTTTAATAGCTTGTATTTAGTTGTACAGATCCTTGATTTGAGATTTTTTCTTTGCATCCTCTTCCCATTTTCTTCTTGTATAAGAACCAGTACAACGTATTAAGCTGGATGATGTATCCCTGTTTTCTTTCTCTACAACATCAGACGTACTGGCCAATTGTCTTGGAATAGTGGGTGCAACGTATGCAAGTCAAGTCCCTTTTGTATCTTCTTGTCCTTGTTGTGTAATAAAGATGACAATCTCAGTCTTGAAGCTGACCGCATAACGCCTGTTGAATACTTTTCTTTTTGAGTTTTTTTTCTAGCTGTAATTTCTGCAAGTGCCCCATAACTGCCAGTCTTTCTAAGACCTAATCTCCAAGATGCAGGAGACTCATCTTGTCTCTCATCTTCTTTAGGAGAAACTTTAGATGAAGTTGGAAACTTCTTAATAGGGGATGCACAGTTAAGAAGAGCCCTGCTGGATCAGACCAGTGGTCCATCTAGCCCAACATCCTGTCTCACACAGTGGCCAGCAGGTTCCTCTGGAGGGCCAACAACAGGGCAGAGAGGCCGAGGCCTTCGTAAGAACATCAGAAGAGCCCTGCTGGATCAGACCAGTGGTCCATCTAGTACAGCATCCTGTGTCACACAGTGGCCAACCAGTTCCTCTGGAGGGCCAGCAACAGGGCAGAGAGGCCGAGGCCTTCATAAGAACATAAGAAGAGCCCTGCTGGATCAGACCAATGGTCCATCTAGTCCAGCATCCTGTCTCACACAGTGGCCAACCAGTTCCTCTGGAGGGCCAACAACAAGGCATAGAGGCCACGGCCTTCGTAAGAACATCAGAAGAGCCCTGCTGGATCAGACCAGTGGTCCATCTAGTCCAGCATCCTGTCTCACACAGTGGCCAACCAGTTCCTCTGGAGGGCCAACAGGGCACAGAGACCGAGGACTTCCCCTGATGTTGCCTCCTGGCTCTGGGATTCAGGGGTTTAGTGCCTCTGAATGTGGAGGTCCCCCTCAGTTACCATGGCTAGTAGCCATAGACAAATCTATCTAATCCCCTTTTCGAGCTGTTTATTCCTGTGGCCATCACTACATCCTCTGGCAGCAAACTCCACATTATCACTCTGTGTGTAAAGTAGTATTTCCTTTTTGTCCATCTTGAGCCTACCGCCCATCCATTCCATTGGATTCCCTGGAGTTATTTATTTCTTATTTATCATTTCAATTTATATCCCGCCCTTCTCTGAGTTCACAGAGCTCAGGGTGGTTAGCAACATAATATCGTACAATTTAAAATCCAAGGAATTTAAATCGCTAAAAACAACATCAGGTGGTGCCAAAATGCGTTTACAGTTTGCATCACTGTCTTGCTGTAAGTGAGCGAAAGCGGGGAGGGGAGGTGGAGTGCCAAGTTCTAATGTTTTGGGAGAGGGAGAAAAAATTAATAAATTAATGTGATTGCACTGCACAAAATGATTCACAAACATACTTGGATAAATGACTGGGACTTGCGGTCTGTGCTGCTGCATATAGCTTATCGTAAGCATGATCCTATAATGTAATTTCAGTACTGCTTAATATTCTGCTATACTTCAGTTCTTTCTGCTGATCCCAGACTTCTAAAATCCTAGCGCACTGGTTACTGAATGTCATATTTTATTGATTGTACTGGCTCACTAGGTATAATCCATGTGCAGCTGCTGTTGTGACCTTGGGTCAGTCACAAGTTCTTTTCAGAGCTGTTCTCTCAAGAGCAGTCCTCGAAAGAGCTCTCTCAGCCCCACCTCCCTCACAGGGTGTCTGTTGTGGGGAGGGGAAGGGAAAGGAGTTTGTAAGCCACTCTGAGACTCCCTTGGGTAGTGAAGGGCGGGGTATAAATCCAGTCTCCTCTTCTCCTTCTTCTTCTTGAGACCCTGTGAGAAAGGTGGACTGTAAATCAAGTAAATAAAGTTTGGTTGATGGAAATTGCAAACGTGGCTCTCCACGAGCCGTGGAGTGACAACCAGTGATCGGAGGCATAGGTGTCTCCCAGTCCGGCTGCCTCAGGTCTCTTAACTGGAAATGCTAGAACCAGAGACCGTCTACATGCCAGGCGTATGCTCTGTTACAAAGGCACAAATTCCTCAGTAAGTCTTTGCAGCGGAGAGTATGAGGGGGTGTCGTGGTTCCCTGCCCTCTGGCACAGAGGTCTTGTATATGAAGCGCTTGAATTATTCTGGGGCAGTTTCTGCCTGAATGCTATGTGCATTTTCTATGAGTTGTGTCTGGATTTATTTATTTTTTAAGCGACCTTAAAAAAACTGAAGAACTTCTGGCAGTGGAAAAAGCCAAAGCTGACAGCCGAACCCAGAACATGAAGTTCTTGAAGGAAAAATCTGATGACTTCAAATACAGAATCCAGGCGGCTGAGGTGAGCCCAAAAAGCCCTCTGCCCTGGTTACTACGGGGAAGAAACTGTCTTGAGGCTAGAATGAAAACGTTTAGTGCCGCTGGCTCCTTTTTTTAATGTTATGTGGTCAAGGCAGGTGCATTTTCCAGAGTGGGGTGACGAAAAAGGTGGACTCCCACTCGAAAGAGTTTCCAATCTGAGCTCACAGGGTGAGGGAGAGGAGGCCTAGGAAAAGTTTCATACAGGCCCACGTTCAGTCAAAGTGGAGCAAAGTGGTCAAAAGTCCAGGAATCTCCCCTCATGATCTGAAAGAACAAGTACCTTCAGCGGCTCTCTCTTCAATCTTTTGTTGTCTGGAAAAATTGGATACTAGAAGTACCATGCTAACCTTTATATTTAGGTTTAATGTTACCTCAGTCTCTTCCAGTCTGTTTCCTGACAGCTCCATGATACAGACGATTATGCTGGCTAGATAGAAGGCTAGAGAGCCAGTTTGGTGTGGTGGTTAAGTGCGCGGACTCTAATCTGGGAGAACCGGTTTGATTCCCCGCTCCTCCACTTGCAGCTGCTGGATGACCTTGGGCAAGCCATAGTTCTGTCAGAGCTGTTCTTGGCAGAGCTCTCTCAGCCCCACGTACCTCACAGGGTGTCTATTGTGGGGAGAGGAAGGGAAAAGAGATTGTAAGCCACTCTTGAGACTCTGAGTGAAGGGCAGGATATAAATCCAATCTCCTCCCCCTCCTCCTCCTCCTCTTTCTTCTATCTTACGCTGTCTGGAAAAATTGGATACTTGAAGTACCATGATACGAGCACGCAGATTGTGCTTACCTTTATATTTAGGTTTAACGTTACCACAGTTTCTTCCAGCCTCTTTTATTTTCCTGACAGTTCCACGCTACAGACGCTTAAATAAGGTCCTTTATTCTGAGTGACTGTGCCAATGTGGTTCAGGCCAAGTAGATTTGGTTAACGAGACAAGAGATAGTTCGATAAAACCTTATATCTAGGATTCTAGGTACCAACTGGATAATTTGAGGTTTCTTTTAGCAGGGGTGGATTTTAATATTACATTGGTAGCTGCCAGGTTCTTTTATCAATCAATTAAGATGAAAAATCATTACATTTTTATATTATATAGACACGTGTATTTTCTTCCTTTTTTTTATTCTTAGTGTGACACTGTTCAGAGCCGAATTGGCTGTCAGAGCAGTATCATTAAAATAAATTATAACCTAGGAGTTTCTTTAACGATAGGGAGAGAATAGTGACCAAGACTTATGGAGAAAGAGATCATGGAGGATCCCCAAAGTGGTTCCGTTTTAATAAATTCCTGTTTGCTTTAGCTGATGGCGAGACTGTGGATAGATGAGTGTTCCAGTGGCAGAAACATCTTAACAGAATTTCAAAATGTCTTTTTTTTTTGGTCAGGGGTCCCCATCCTTTTTCAACTTGCAGGGCCGTTTGGGATTCTGAAACAGGGCGGTCACAAAATGGCTGCTGCAGGAAGTGAAGCCAGCCACAAAATGGCTGCCGTGGTTAATCTTCAGGCACACAGTGAAGCTCCTTTTGCCATGGTGGCAAAATCTGCACCACGAGTCACCACCTGGCTTCTTCCGCTTTCTAAAAACACTTGGCAGGTGCCGGAAAAGGCCATGGTGCCCGTTGGACTCCTTCGGGTAGTGAACGGCAGGGTATAAATCCAGCCTCCTCCTCCTCCCCTTCTTCTCCTTCTCCTCCATCTGACAATACTGTTTTGAAAACACAAAGCCTCTACTGGTAGACACAGTTCAGCATGTTAAGCATTCCAGGGCATCTCCTGTAAAAAGGGTCTCCAGTGGGTGCAGACCTTTTCCAGTTCTGCTGAGAACTTGTAGAACCGGCGATGCTACGACTACCCCGGATTAAATGGAGCAGTACTTTGAATATAGGGCAGACACTTACGATCATAAAAGCAGTCAGGGTCCCTGCTGTTTTTAATTATATGGGAAACAGAGGTGTGAAACCACCCTTCGCGCTTCTGTTTCCCTTTAGTCGTCTTCTTCTGAGTAATTTTGTGCTGCCTGATTATTTAGCTGCGGAGCTGTAGTCATGGCTTTCCCCCTGTTCTTTTTCTCTCCCCCCCCCCCTCTTGCCCATTTTGGTCTCCTTCTTAACCTTCCCACGAGACAGAAGAACAGTCCAGAGTTGGTTTTAGAGCCAGTTTGGTGTAGTGGTTAAGTGCATGGACTCTAATCTGGGAGAACCAGGTTTGATTCCCCACTCCTCAACTTGCACCTGC